AAAAAAAAAAAAAAAAAAAGGCTGAAATTTTGGAGAATCAGATGACGGGTCATAATTTGAAGCGAAGAGTATTATGCTCACCCATGTCATCATCCTCACTTGCTGCAGATTGCCTTAAATGAGACTGATATTGATCTGGCAATTTTGAGAGAACAGATTGTTCCAGGTGTTGTTTTATGTCTCCAGCGTACCTGTACTTAGTGTTAAGACAAGAGTTTCACGCACAAAACCTATATGTGAACAGAAAAGGAGTAAAAAATACCTCCTGGCAAACTTCTGTTCTTGTTTAGATAGTCGATTCCATATTTCGGCATTTTTCTGTATGTGGAAAACATATTTTTCGATCTGCCACAAGTGAAGAACAACAATAATTGGTATTTAAGATAAGATGCATCTTGTTTCTTGTGAAGTGTAAGTTCACTTGACAATAATTTAGTGTGAAGCTGTTAAGTCATAGTCTATATCCCCAAGAATTTGTACACATCAAATGACAATAATTCTTTGTTCTAGCCCAAGGATTACCTTCTGAAGGCGAGTGCGAAGATATGATCTCAACAGAAACATGGTCCTGTCCAAGTCCATCTGGTAAAGGGATATTGTGAGTGGATCAACACTGTTTTGACTGAAATCGTCTACCATTTCTTCCTGAAAAGACAAAAATCTGTATGCATGGGAGTTTTTCACTGCAAAACCAACGCCCGGTGCAGGCAAAAGATTGCCTAATAGTACTAGCACATTACAAATAAGTATAATTGATTCTATTTGTTTGTAATGGGAAAAAGTATGTCATGTGCTATGTAGGAGCACTTATGTCAATCCAATCTTTGAATCGGTGGACACGTGATGAAGAACATAAGAAATAACATACTCAAATAGAGAGTTTTCTTCCTTTTCAATAAAATCCATCACATATTAATAAGGGGCACTTGAGATATGAACCTACAAAACTCGGGGAACAGTACAAAAGGTTTCATTTCTCAGCTCAAGGGAAAATACAATGTATTATCACGCGTACCGAAAATGTGAAGAAAAATTGAGCTACTTCCACTGACAGAATCAAATTTAAGGAATAGGATTAAACCTAATTTAAGAATAAAGCAAGTCTTCTCAAGCTGGGAATTTGAGAGAGATACTTCAAATACATACATACAGACACATAAACAAAAGCTCTAATCCACATTTAACAGAGTTAACAACCAGCCAAGCTACAAAAAGTGCTAGGATTTCCAGTGCAATTTCCACAAAAACACTCACATTATAGCAATTTGTGCTGTCCATTCATCGGTTTAAACTATAAGAAAGGCACATAATAACAAACAGTAATCCAGCATAGGTAAATTTTGTGCGAAAACAGAATCATATTTGTTCACCATTAATTGGATCTGTTGGCGGGACCTCTGGACTAAATCGGCGTCATGTTTGAGGATCTCCGGCGCCGCCTTCTCGTTCCGCCACGCGCTCTTCAGCAGCTCCGCATCAGTGGTCGACATCAAGGACTCGTAATCGTCTGCGGCGGAGCTTTCTCCTGCTGCACCTGAATCCATGTGATAAAATCTCGTGCGCTCCCAATTTTGTTTTTTCTTTACCCAATTTCTTCGCTCCAATTTTGAATGAGTGAAATAAAAAATATGGAGTCCGGTGTTCTGTAGTGCCGACTAAAGCTACTAGTAACAGTACCCGTGCGATCCACGCGCTAGTAATATTAAGGAAAACATATTGATTTGGATGGTGGGATCTTTGATCAAAACATAAAATGTATTTATTGAAATAAAATGCTATTTATTGAAATAAACTCTTCAGACTCTTATTCATAACGCGTTAAACAATTACGTACAGTTGACCTTGACTGGACACTGATTTTTTAAAAAACAGACCAACATGCGATATCTTTCTTTTTTTTTTATTTGCATTTGACATTATATCTTCTCGTCCTTTTTTCTTTTCATTGCATTAGATATGGTATCTCTTATCGAAATATAACAAATTTTGTTTCAAAATTTAAATCGAGAATATATATCACAGTTAATGTGTTGAAATAATTTGTAATATATTAGGTTAGTGTTTGAATCATGTGTTATATTTACCCTTAAAAATTGTTAGTATAACAAATCTTCTGAGATATAATAGTTTTGGTAGTAAATCAATCGGTATATTAAATAAACGAACGATATAATATGAAAAAACAATTGAAAGAAACAATTCTGATAATCGATTAGTATAAAAAAATCTGTTAAGATATCAAAGATGTTCAATATATATATATATATATATATATATATTTTTTTTTTTTTTTTTTTTTT